ACTCCAACAAGAGATTATAGTTAAAGGACTAACATATATGTACGTTGGTGGTTCAGCGGTAGAGTGCTGGCTAACCATGTACGTGGTGCCTGATCCGAGTCCCTGCCGGAGCATACCTTTACCTCACTTAGCCCATTATAATCCTGACAAAGAGAGAAGGTTTAGCGTGAGGCTAGCAACCTCATCCCGTGAAAAAAGCTACTGCTACCGAGACTTCAAAGCTCTAGCCTGAAGCTCCATGTTCCACTCGGAACACAAAGGAATAAAATAAAAATAAATGACTAACATATATAAACTGTTATATTAGGTGAAATAACTCCTTGTGGTAGGTATATCTGAAGATAAAGCATCACATCTGATGTGAATGCTTACATTTAGTAAAGGGCTTGTGTACCACCTTCCTCTCACTTTCTTACTTGGTGTTTTTCAAAAACTGTTTACTGTTCTCTACATGAGTTTGATTTTGTTATGTTCCACTAATCTGAGACGACTAAAGCCTATGCGCTAATTTGTTAATAGTGATTACAGTAATTATCAAGAGAGTGATTACCTACTATTTTATCCCTGCCATATCTGCGTTAGTTGTTGTAATCTTCTTACAAATTTTAAAATTAAACCTTCATTGTGTGCGCTCATGCTTCACATTGTTTAGTGGTTTCTCCGACTACCTTGAATCAGAGTGAATACCGGAGACATTCTACGTTTGCAGTGATAACCAATGCAAAAATGAAATTTCAGCAGAAATAATCCCACAGAAAAATCATGAATCGCATAACACCCACAAAAGCATTAAGAAAGTGAATAAATAAAAGAACTGTGTAATATGCATCACACTAACCAAAATGAGGAGTTGTACTCACTAGTCTGATCTGAAGTATACTGTAAACAAAGTATTCGTCACCAGGCGAGTGATACAGTCAGTGCATTCCAGCAACACTTAAAAAGAAACTGTTATTAACATGATTATCGATAATATTTTCTGTATTTAAAGCCAACTTTTTGAAAAATCATAATTTCGACTATCACCTTAAGTATATGTTACTCAATAATCGTATGCATAAGGTAATAAAACACAGTATGAAGGTGTGCATACATAGATGTGTTTTTGTGTGTGTGCGTGCGTGTTTGCATGTATTAGTGTGCTTAAAACTCAGGATCAACAGTAAAAAGGAAACCAAAATACATGTAACTTTGGCTTATCTGTTGCACACACATTTTTTCTGCTCTCATTTCATGTGTGAGACACACTATCCGTGTGCACAGCTGCAATAACATGCAGTGTTAATTTAGTACTTTGGTTATTGATGAATTTATGAGACATTATGTGAAATAACCTGTGGTTATGCTTCACTGGCATGCAATATTTATACCTATATAAACTACCTTAAAGAAAGACGATGTATCAGAATATCATACTGCTTAAGATTTTCTAAATTGAGTGAGAAAATAATGTATTTGTGATTATATTCAACAGATTATATTCATTGATGTTCAGTGTGAAGAAATATTCTCACCCAGTTTCCACTCACTCAACTGTCAGTTCACAAAAAAGAGACTGACATTGCTAATGACTCAAATGATGCCTGCATAAATTAACAGGTTATAAAAGAAACAAAAAAATTTTAAAAAAGTTGAATATTGGGACACTAATTTGAAGTGCGTTGGTGGCACAGCGGTTAAGACCCTCGCACATGGTCTGGGGTTCGATCCCCGGCCGACGCACTCCTTTACCTCGCTAAGCCAGTAATAGAACTGGCAAAGAGGGAAGGTTGGGCATGAGGCTAGCAACCCCATCCTGTAAAAATAAACACTGCTACAGAAACTTCAAGCCTCTAGGTTGAAGCCCTATGTTCCACTGGGAACGTGAAGGAATAAAAAAAATTGGGACGCCATCAAGAAAAACTTGAAATTTGTTTTTGTGTAAAATTACTTTACTTCAGTAATTTAATGTCTGGTATCTAGAGGTGATTCAAAAGTTACACTTCGTAGTACAAACCAACAGTTTAAGTGAACCGCCATCTGAAGATAAAATGATCTGAGATCGTTAGTCTGAGGTTGATTTTGTGAAATAAGGAAAGTAATTAAAAAAAACTCCAAAAAACCTATTCGAAATACTGTAATGAATAGTTAATCAGATCGTCTATATTTCTAATTCAAACCAACGATGCTAAGGACAAGAAAACTTGATTAAACCACTGGTGTGATGATGTTTGACTTTAACAGTTATTTGCATAATAATAAGACAAGGCGTTTGGTGAATGAAGGAACAGGTGAAACTAAGTGTTATAACTTAGTTTATAAGACTCATACCATGTTAATTTATTTTACACTTTTTCTTATTTTAACTTTAGTGATCACTGTACTATAACTATCATTCTCAAAGCTATAGATTTTAATTGCCTCTGCATAACATTGATTTAAAACCAGTTATATTTAAGCATCTTAGTTATAAAAAGTATATATATTGAAAATTTGAATAAATAGTCAGTCTCAATCATCAGATACTCCACTGATGGGGATGAACGCAATTTTATCAAGTTTAGTATGCAAAGACACTTTGTCAAATTTACTAAGTATCCATATTTAATCTCCCAGGCAATATATTTTTGTGACAGTGAACATTCAAAGTATGGTATTGATTAATTAATATTCAACTATCGCTTAATAGGCACTTGTCAAAACACCTAATGAATCTCATAAGACGTATTTGATTACTGTCTGACATATAATATATAATGCTGAGTAAAATTTGCTGTTATACAATTTGAAAGTAAGCATGGAACGAGCAAAAAATACCTTTAAACAATTGTATTTTCCAGGGAAAGAAGAAAAGAAGATTATGTGTAGATATGGGAGGTTTTCATCAGTCTAACTACTAGGAAGCTGTAAATGTCAGTATGTTATGTCGTATTACATTTCTGACCATAGTACAATTTCCTTTCCAAAGATTTCAGCTCTACATAATACAGTATATACGTGGAATGATATCGAAATTACGTAACATAACTGTGTTGATTATGTTAAAAGTTGACAACTTCAATTTACCACTACCGTAAGATAAAAATGAACAATTTTCTGTTATACTCATGGCAATTTAGTTGAATTTTTCATGGATATGATGTAGCAAGTTTACCTGCAAAACTAATGAATCTAGTGACAAACCATTTTTATTTCACATATAACCTACGTGAATGCTTTACACGCCTAAATAGTCTATTCTCATCTTCGAATAATGTTGACTATTTATATTAAGAATAATTATTCGAACAAGACTTTGAATAATGGCAGAATTAGTCAGGAAGTGGATAAATCGACCAGTTGAAGAAACATTCTAGATAAGATATAATTTAAACAGAGTTTGCTTTTCGGTTAATTTGTCCATTGACTCGGTGAATAAAGCTTTGGCGTTTGAAACGATGGCTGCAAGGTTCCAGTCTCATTGGGAACATTATCATTCATTGGAGATCCAGGTACATCCAACTGATGAGTCCAAATTGGGACGAAATACGCATCCTGCGCTCCATTACTGATCATTATCAAGCAAAGGTTCATCAACTCATTACAATGATTTATATAAAGTGACTGGCTGGAGGAAACTAAGTTTTTCTTTATTGTTATGGTGAATTGGAAAGCCTTGACTCTGAATAATGCCTTTTCAAATCTCAAAATGGAATGGATTTCCCCCGAGATCACAAACATGTCAGTGAACAAGAAACCTTGGCAGACAAAAACTTCGCACTAATTTACAGCTGGCTTTAAATGCCAAACTGTCTATATTTCTTGTCTCAACACTGCTAAACAATAAGGCTTTATTTACAGTACTATACTCACAAATCTATTCTAAACTGCAAATCAGAAGGCTCAAAATGGATTGTTGTTTCACCAGTTGGTAAATTGCGCTGTTCATAGTTATTTATAGATTAGTCTTAGTGGTTTATAGAACCCGATTATATCCAGGACAACTTCATTTCATGAAACTAATTATATTCAAACACGTACTTTAAAATGCAACTGCTACTAGATAGTCATTTCTTTAAAGTCTGAAATCATTAATCTCTGTTCATCAATTTTGATTCTCTATTAGTGAATTTTACAGTATTTATGTGTTGTGTGGAACACCATAATGTCCAACTTCTACATGAAATCAAAGGATCATAAATTTCAACATTACATCACATTGTAAGGCAATTAAAGTTTGGAAATTATTTATATGAAGAAACAATGACTTTTAAAAATTACAGAAATCTATTTCTTTTGAGTCCTAATCACATTGGTGACAATGTCTAAATAATCTGTTCTGTGGAGTTTTAGTGCAGTTTTTAAACATTTGCTCATGAGAACTGACAGACTTTAGGCGACGTTCATCATACCTAATGAAGTTTCATCAGTATTCATCTCAATTTCAAGTTGGATCACGAACTGTTATTAAGTTAGAGAATCATTGAATCCAAGGAGTGCTGAACAGTTGTTTCATCCTAGCATAAGATTCTCCACTAGCACTACGCCTCCATCGGGGATCGAAATCAGGATCTGCAGCTCACGAGGCGAGGCAGTTGACTGCTCAGCCACTTGGGTGGAATCTAGTGGCCCATGAATTCTAACTTCTGTTAATTCGCAATATATATGGGGCAAATGCCCTAATCTGTATATTATTTCGTTCTGCATTAAAGAGCATACGAGTCTTATACTTGCTTCTAGCAGTCTTCTCTAGTCGAACGAGATGAGTTATCTTGATTAGTCGGCTGTACACTTCTTTCCTTTCAGAGTTATAGAATATTTCCAAATTAGGATATGTCGTCACGGAGTACTACAAGTGGCTTGGCCAATTGGCTTAAGAACTCGACACCTGTTTCTTTCTGAATCTTGATTCTTGTCACTGCATTTAAACAAAACCATTACCTGATTTAAATTTACTTTTAGAAAAAATAATGAGTTTATCAAAATAAAATTTTTAACTGTAACCATAAATAAATAAATGTTTTACAAAAAGACAAACTTACAAAAAAATGAATTGATTTGAAATTAGAAATCAGCTGAAAATATTTCCGTCATTTAAGCAAAATTAAGTATGGTGCGTTTCTTAGATTATATTGTTATTATGTTATTTTTCACCTATCTAGTTAAATAAGAATATTTTTCCAAAAATTGAAATTCATCTGTTTATTTTAAAGATATGCACTAACATTGGCAAAAGTAATACAATAATGATGTGATGTTAACTCTATCATGAATCAGTCAGTCATCGTAATAGTTTCAGTGTGTTTTACAAATGAATGTTGAAATCAATACGGTTTGTTTAAGCTCACACCTTTATGCTTTGCATGCATACATACATACTTGTGTGTACATGTGTATTTATTTCTATATGTGTGAGTCTGTGCAATAGTAGTAATAGTAAATCTTTATGTAAAGCACCTGTCTATCCTCTTCCATACAAAAATCACGTTGATATCAAGATAAGCAATCACAGTGGATATTTTAAATATGATAACTCATCAAGATAATCCTATTTCCTAGCACTAATTGATTATCCTATAGTTAGCATACGTGAACCGATTGGTGTTGAGATATAATTTACACCTAGTCAGGCTTATCTATACACACACTAGAGAGCATGATACTCATTTAAAGATGAGAATAAATATGATTGGTTGTTCTAGTGTGTCCATTTTGAACCAATGTGTGGTGCGTATTTCAAACACACTGAGATACACAAATGTGTTTAGATCATTTTGACCATTGTACACCGCAAAAACTAAACATAAAACACACACAGAAGGTATTTTATTTCTGTACTATTAAGAGATTAGATTTCTTTTCAATATTGTTTAGGTTTTAAAGGTATATTATTAAGAAACTATGTAACTAAAACAAATTCTATCATATCATAATGTTTTATAATTGTGTAATAGAACCACAAAAAAGTTTCTATTTTTGTGTAAATAATGGTCTCTGGAATGTTTTGTTTTCTAGAAATAAAGCCTGTAAGGTAGCATAATTTCAAAAGGCTTAAGTCTGCGATTTACAAATCATATTAGGTGGGTTTTCTTGGCTAAATGTGCACAAGCGGGTCCCGTGGTTTATGAAGACCTTATGGCCTTAAGTGTCATTTCTATCTTTGAGACTGTTTCTTCTAATTACAAAGCTGTAAGAGTGTGAACAGTGGTGAGGAAGTGTTAAACATCGATTTTGAAGTTCACTATTCTGAAAATAGATGCATAATACATTAAAGAAAACTGTTAAAGTTTCCCTTAACAATTTCATTTTACAAAAAATCACCATCAGGATTAAAAGAGTATAGACCACACTGTTGCCATCGCTTATCTTAAGAGTAACGTAAGTTAGTGTTACTTGTTGCAAAATGTCTTCTTCTCGCAATAGTCTTCAAAAACATAAGAACTTATAAATCCAATGAAATACATTAGTTATTTATCTGATGGTGGTAAGAAGCCGAATCTAGGGTGCAAGTTCAAAATGTCCAACTTGTCTCTTCGATGTGCCTTAACTGCAGAGGTTGATTTTTTCACCATGTAAATTAAAACCACTTCCTACATACATATTTCTTAAGCAAAGCATGATTCACTAGGCTACCGAGCGAGACACAAGAATCACTTCTAATGACAGTGATATTATTTCACAGTATTTTTTATATCTACTACGAGAGTCGTGAAAAGGTGGCGGTCAAATAAGCTCACTATTGTTCGCCCATGGAAATGGTGAACTGGTGTTCATTCATTTGTCGTTTCCATTTACCACATAAACTAAGTAAACCTAATAGTATGTTTTGCTTTCAGAAGAATATAACACCTAAATCTAAAATGTTGTGTTCAAAGAAAATGAATTTGCTATCTTCATCAAGACATTAGTATTTGATGCATAACTTAAGGGATTTTAATATGCTCCTATCATATACTTCTGGCTTCGTATTTACCTAACAAGACGTTTGTTTCGTTTCCTTACGCTTATTTCAGCTACTGCAAGACACAGTAAAGTAACTGACGGTAAAATTCTAAGTGTACCACTGAGCAAAAGATGTTCACTTTATGTAGTCTAAATTTTCAAGTATTACAATTCAGTATTCCAATGAATCCTGATTTGATGACTAGTCGTAGAATATTAGGCATAGAATAATACACTTCAGAGCTAACTAAAATAAGTGGCGGTAGATTGATTGGCACACTTGATTATTTCTGAAGTGACGTTGAAACATACACAATCTGAGATATGAGTCACATTTGCAGGATTATAGTGTCTTCATCGCTATACTACTTACTAACGGTAATAAGAACAAAGTTTTATACTAAATCGTTTTCATACATTTATTCCCCTTAATGAATTTGAACAAAGCAAGAACTACAGTTTTTGCAGAATAAAGTGGTACCATCTTTTATTTCGTTGCCTTCTCGTCAGCTGCTTACAGGCCAAAGACATTATTAAATATATCTACAAAAACAATTTTAACATACTTGCACAGAGTTCATTTTAAACAAAAAATCAATCGATCAATATATGCATACACTAATTATATATATATATATATATATATATATATATAATATTGAACACTATTCCGAACAATAATAATCATACACAATGGAAACTTTTCAGCATTACGCATTCAGATGGAAGAGAGATAAAGATGAAAATTCCCAGTTACCAGGGCAAAGAAAGACTGATAACTGTTTCTTTCTGAACGCACAAATCAGGTTTCAGGCGCTTGATGAAAATGGCTTCAGCAAACTTGAGGAGAATTGAGCTCTTTTGCGTATTGATAATTTTGAACGACTTTTTGACGTCCACCTCATGACCCGTGTCAAGGAGATGCCTGGCGATGGCACTGTTTAAAGCATTTGTTCCCTTTAGACATAAGTTTTTTGGTACATGTTCAGAAAATCGTAGATATGCGCTTCTTTGTGTCCTTCCAATGTAACTGCTCCCGCAGATACATGTAAATTTGTATATGCAGTGGACGCCCATCTGGTGACACCCATGTAGCCTTGTGGATATCCTTGTGTTTGTATACGCTGCCACCAATTACTCGTTCATTGAAGGCGCAGAAGTTGGCGAAGAGTTCTCCGTTTTCATTCATTTCTCCGAGAGCTTCTCTACCCATGATGAGTTCCCTTCCTGTATAACTCTATGCTGTCTGAAAACTACTCTTTTTTCTGAGAAAATTTATCTATCCTCGAAGAATATTTTGAACAGTTATAGAAAAGCAGTGGAAAGTAGTAGTAGAAACTTAAAAATCAAAAGATTGTTATAGTAAAGGCATCAGGAACGTTAAGGTAAAGCATTTGTCTGTTTAAAAGTTATTCGTGCTGATGTAGTGAGATGGGGTTTAACGTAGGCCGAATGTGAAGATGAATTGCTTTTGGATTAGCTCAACCCAACGTTGTTGATTCTTAAAATTCGCACTGCAAGCTTTGCGCACCATATTCTAATACACTTCCCAACAATTTCTGTGATAAGTTTCACTACGGATAAAAATAGCTTTATCCCATGTTTTACTTACTACCATCGCATATTCCATCTCGTTCTAAAGAAAGGCCCATTTCTACCCCGCTATAATATGCACAGTTGACTGATACTGCCTAAGTATGTAAACACCTGCAAGCGCAGAATGTAAAAATGAAGGATTAGAATCGAGGACTTACAGTGTGATAAAGTTTACAACGAAATACTTGTGTTATTTAAAAACTTTGATTTACTGTGCGTACATTTCTAAATTCATATTCTTTGTTTCCTCAGTGTTCGCCTACAAGCCATAATCCAAAAGAATTACCCGTAGGTAATAATGATAGCGAGCGCGAGGATTTACCTTGACTGAATACTCCTACAGTACCTTCAGCTTCAACTAAGCCACGAAAATACCAGAACACTAAAACCGGTCTTGAGATCCAAGGACGATGCTATTCAGAATGTATATATAATTAATTCACATAGTTACTGAAGAAACCTATTTTGAATGGTTCCGTGAGACACTGAATTATACAACAAAATTATTTTGTCCAGACGGCAGCATAAATGTGAATACAAGACAAAACCTCCTACCCTGATGACAAATAACGTCAACTTCACTTTTTGTCTCTTTCTATCAAGTCTCTTCTTTATGACGAATCAAAACTTAAGTTACAATATACTCTCCTAACAGACACGCGAACAATCAATCCGAATATATTCGGAGTCAGGTGTGGAGCAAATTTGTTGCCAATTAGTACATAATAAACATATGACAATTCACCAGATTTTGAAAACATCATGTGCATAAAATAACTCCGTTCACTTTAATACAGAAGAACATAATTACGCTAATCGATAAAAAAAGTAAAAAGTGTTCTTCTTTCCGCTTACCAAAGTTTTCAGCAACATGACAAATCACTAGAACTGATTAGAAATGGATGGCTAACTGAGTACTGGCTGTCAGTTTAATCTACTGTAAGATATACGTCAAACTGTCAATTGAATACTTCTGTCAGCAAAGCCATCATACATTTTTTTCACCTATAAGACTCCACTGTCTACATACACACCGTGTTTGCATATTATTGCTATCTTTCCAAGATATGCATAAAAATATTATATCACTTTATAGTTTTTCCTCACACAATAAATAAAAGTACTAGTTGGGTGACACATCGTAATCGGATCACACTTAATCTCCTTATACTGTGAGAATAAAATATTGGTTAAGATTAATTGTGCTGAAGCGAGCGAACTAACACTCTGATGACCTTGAGGCAGCCAATTAGAGTAAGCTTAGGAAAGAAAGTATTTTAACATAAAAGCGATTATTAATAATAATGATAATAAATATTATCCAGGATATATGGAATAGGATTCATACAATACATTTTCGCGGCTTTCACTCGCAGACATCCTGATTAGAAGAGTTCAATAAGGTTCTTATGAAAACATCATAACTATACATCGTCTGTTGTAGACTATTATAATCACATCTTTCGAAGTATTAATTGCCAAGAAAGAATAACTACATAAGACGGTATGCCATTTAACTCATTTATTTATAAGCAGCTTCTTTCCCAAATTAAAATTTTTGTTTACTGCAATATTGTTCCTGTGTCACTTTATAATATTATTTCGTCACTTTTAAATAGCTGTGACGAAGACTCTCCCACTCTTTCATCTTTCCACATCCTGGTCATGCATACCATTTTCATGGTGAACTCATACTGAAACACTTATCATCTAAAATGTTCAGGATCCCACCATCAAAATTACAAAGAAAAATCGCAATATGCATTTAAAATACGTTAGAGCACGCTAATATAATTAGTATTTTTTGTTTTTCTAAATTATACTGTAAGTAAATGTATTCATTTCCTACTTAAGTACACCCTTTCAATCTGATTGGTCGTTTGAATGTCATTAGCACTCTCTTTTTACTTGGATAATTACAGCTTATCTTTGTCAAAATAATTTCAGAGCATTACGTTAGAGAGATGAATTTAAGCGATAAATAAGTATATTTAATAGTGTTGTGCTTTGTAACGCATAAAAATATTAGATAAGTTAGTTTCCTCTAACATATATTAAAAGTATGTTTAATTTTTCTAGGGATGTCGATGAGTTTATCTTCCCTGTAAATTCATCCGAAGGAT